GGAGGTGGGGGTGGGGGGTGGGGTGGATTTCCCGCTGAAAATGGCGGTGATTACGGTTGAATTTTGCAAGAGAAAAAGCATATAAGAGGAGTAGAGGAGAAATGAAAGGGACAAAAACTTTGGATTACTTATAGAAATGACGGGTTGTTTTAGGAGGTGGGGTAAGGTGGTAGAGGTGGAGAAACAATCTCAAATTAAAATAAGTATAATAATAATAATAATAATAATAATAATAATAATAGAAATAAAATTGGATTTTAGTCGATGAATCTTGTAGTGAGATATGACTTATAACAAAATTAATAAATAATAATAAACGGTTAGATCAAAATAATTTTTTTTGACTAAATAATTATCAATAACTTAATAACTAATCTATTAATCGGATTCGGAATATTTTTCATATTGGGCAATTGTTTTTTTCCTTTCGAGGATAGAATAGTAAAGATTTTACCACCCTTCATTGATAATTTCGAATTCAAATCTTGAAAATGACATCAGCTAAAATTTGAGTTTTATCGTTTGAATTCCTATTAGTCGAATCCTGTCCGGATCCAATACATGCTTCGACATCTGATTTATTTGAACTAAGTATTTTAGTAATGGTTAGATATGAACTCATAATTATGAATTATTTTTATGTTAAGATATTTTAGAAGTCAAACTCGTCAAATTAAAAATTTAAATTCACTTTTAATCGAACCAATAAGTTTTTAATACTAAAAAATAAATAGAAAAGAAAAGGGATCTCTCTCTTCAACTCACTATCGAAGTGCACCAATGTTACGTGCTAAGACAAAAACAGGATTTTCTACGATTTTGACTTAAGATTTGACACCTCATTTCATTTGCATTTAACAACTCCACTCATCTCTATGGTGGGTAACGAAAATTGAAATTACGCATTGGCAAAATATATAAGTTACCCCGTGAATTATAGAGGAAATCCCTGTCATACACTTTTACGGACTAAAATTACCGTACGCACTCAACCTTTCCAAAATGTGCCTAATACACACTACTTTCCTACGTGGCCAACGCGTGTTTTACCAACAAAATAAGGCGTGTGAAGAAACAAAAATATATATCTGATGTTTTATTTGAACGATTCAAATCTAACAAAACTTATTTAACGGTTCAAATTGATTTTCCTTTTTCTTTTCTTTCTTTTATTCCTTTTTCTTTTACTTTGTTTTGTTCATTCTTCAACGAAACAAAAAGTCCTCCTATGTTTGTCTTCCACAATCCCCCATATCCCCAGACCGGCCTATATTTGTTTTCTTGTGAAGCTTGATGGCCTATGGAATTTTAAAGGTAGAGAGAGATAGTATTTTTTGGAAGAGAGATCTTTTGGGTTTCTCCAAATTAATGGAGATTGGTTGATGAGAAGGTGAATCTATGGTCGATGTTGTGTTCAATTAGAGCCTTCACTGCTCTCTGCAACTCTTTTTTAGTTCAGCCACCGGCTTGGCCGCCAGCGGCAGTCCTCCTCTGCCCTCTATGGTGGTTCTTGCCATCCTTGATTTTTATGAAGAATAAAATGAAATTTAAAGATTTTAGCAGAAAGATAATAAGTTCGACAGTAAATGTGTAGGCCTTCTTACTAAAATAAGTTAATCCAGATTATTATTATGGGATTCTTTTAGAGTGAAAGAAAAATAATTTTAATGAAGATGTGAGGATAGGGATGATGCTGCGCTGGTAGTAGAGAACTTCACATAGCTGATTTTTTATTGAAGAATAGTGGTCGGAGATGGAAGGCAAGATTTATGGTGGCCGATCGAAGAGAAGGCAGCCATGGTGATGGATTTAATGAAGAAGATATGATATAATTATAATTTAAAGGTTTTTTTTAATAAGTTAATGACATGTGTCACTATCTGATTGGAGCGTGAAATTACACATGTTTTGGAAAATTGGTCAAGAAAAAAGTAGTGTGTATTAGACACACTTCTAAAAGGTTAGGTGTTGTAAAAGGTTGCCCGTGGTCGAGAGGTGTGTAACAGGGATTTGGTTTGGTTTTAACTAAAAAAAACAAGTCAAACCGAAACCAAACCAACTCGACGTTATATGTATACAAGTTTTAAAAATATTTCATACATAAAAATAATTATTGTAAGTAATTTATAAAAAGAAATTAAAACTTTTTCATAGTTCACTCTTTTAATGTATTTTTCAAGCTTGGACTTAGAACTTTTGAATGATCAAATATGTTTTATAACCCATAAAAGTTAGCAACTCAAATAAACCCAAAGCAAAATCAAATCAATACTAATGCTAACAAAAAAAAAATCAATTGAATACTAGAAATGACAATAGTTTGGATATTTATTTTTTTTAGTTTTGCATTGGTTTAGACAGTGAAAATGCATAACCCTTTTAATATTATTTAGTCATGTAATTAATACTTAGTACTTATTAGTCGTGCTTATTTTAGCATGACTTAGGCCTCATTTGTTTGCACTTAGTGGAGGTCCGAATCTTAATCATTCAGATCTCAAACATTAAGTGCGTTTGTTTTTAAAGTTTGAATCTTAATTATTCAGATCTTAATCATTAAGTGTGTTTGTTTTTTTTTTACTTTACAGCCACTTAATGGGTCTGAATAGGTCTATATGATCAAGATCTATAACAGAGACTTAATTTCATTAAGATGCTATCACATATTCATTATTCACTGCCGCCACCGCCTACCATTATCAACTACCACCATGACACCACCACCACACCACCATCATCCTCAATCATAGCCGCCACCATTATCAACCATCACCACCCACTATCCCCACCACTCCGACCACCATCATTCTCACCCATAATCAACACTCATCCACCTCAACTACCACAACTGACCACCCCATCACCATCAACAACCACAGCTAGTACTGCCCATCTTATAACCTACCACCTCCCACCCACCACCTTCCTTAGTCACAACTATTGCCACCACCCGCCATTATTAACTATCGACGCCCACCACCACCATCCTCAATCATATTCGCCACCACTACCGATCACTACTAGCTACTAGCATGAACCACCATCATCAACCAAAACTACCACTAGCTACCGCCTCTAGTCGACATTCACCACCAACAACTATCATATTTTAAAAACTATATATTTTATTGATAGAATATTAGATTAGTTAGTATTTCATTTGAATTTATGTTTATTAATTTTCAAATAAAGATAAATTGTATACATTCAGATGTTAAAAATCAAGCAGTCTTAATTATTTCTATTCAGATCTTAACACATCTTAATATATTCAGATGTGTATTCAGATTCAGATGTCTTAATCTTAATACACATCTTGATATTCAGATGTATATTCAGATTCAGATGTCTTAGTCTTTAAAAAAAAAAAAAATGAGGCCTTAGTACTTTTAGATTATGTTTATTTTTATTATGGCAATATTTATTTTATGCGATTTGCTGAGTATTTTAACATAATCATGACTCATATCACATTATTTTATTGGATAACATCTTATATAGTTTTATCCTACTAGGACCTAAGAAATATTAAAGCACAAATTATATATTTGTATGTTATGAAGATTTTATCGGAAAAAAACCCGAAAAATTCGAGAAAATCAAAAAACTCGAGAAAAATCGATATTGAAAACCCCGACTTTTGTTGGTTTTGATTTGTTTTATAGATTTAAAAATTTCGAGACAATTGATTTGGTTTGGTAATTGAAAAACCCGAATCAACCCAGCTTATGTACACCCCTATCAAAATTAACCAAGTGAGAATACTTTTGGGCAAATTACATATTAACCGGTCAGCCAAAAATAATTATATTCACTAGCTAAGTACATATATACAAAAATATGCAAAAAAATATATTTTTTTTTGCCGGTTATCATTTTTGAGAACGACTATATGTGTAGTTCTCCTAATTCTCTTTATTTGTCAAATCTTATGGAATTTCACTTGTGGCCACGGGTACAATTGTAAAGTTATTCATCATTGAAATTATCATAATTTTTGTCTAGAAATAGGGATGGGAAAGGGAAATGCATCTTTCATTTTGGGATAATTTCACATAAATACAACTCACACACCTGACTTGCAACATAATAGCCTAGATATCACTTTGCAAATCTATAGCCCAAAAAATAATAGGCTAATTCCCGAAAGACAGCTTATTTTGCTCCCTCTGTATACAACCAGTTATTTTCATTCTGTTGATTTCCTTTGATTATTAAGCATTTGATGAAAAAATACAAATCAGCCACAACGCAACTCAAAAATCCTGAATAATACATATTATCTGAAGGTAAGAAATTCAAACACTTTTACGTGCAATTGCTGAAGCAATCCAGCAGGATAAAAGAAAAATAAAAACTTGGTAAATGAATTGTAGAATCCCTCCAACGCTCATACAACATATTACACGAAAAAGAAGAAGAGAAGGAAGTGTCAAACTTCTGTAGAGGCCTCTTACACACTAACAATGTATATACATCCTTATAAACTGAAAAAATATATAATTATACAATATTATACACAGATATACACATTTATACAATACTGTATAACTTTGTATAAACATGTATAATAGTGTATAAGAGGTGTTTGTATATCCATATACACAATTATACACTAGTATACAGTGTTGATACAAACTGCTACATAGTTATGATTTTTATCCAAACCCAATTTCAGATTCGAGACTTCAAGGTCATAATAATAATGACCAGAACTTCAAACTTCAAAATCTTCCAACATTAGTGGTTATTTTTTTGGTGCAAATCAAGTTTGAGAGCTATTTATTTTCAGATCTGTGTGTATTTTCATGTTTCTTTCAAAAATCTTCTTCATTCTTCTGCTTGCCACCATGGACGACAGAGTCTTTCTTCTAGCCTTCTTCGAGCCATTAATGGCAGAACTGCGTGGGGGGTAGAGGAGGGGAATAGCGGGGGCTAGGTTAAGAGAGGATGAGGGATCTATGTGGGTTAGA